GGGGGGGGGTTCGAACCGGTAGTGACCCCCCCGGTTTTCGAGGGGGGGGTTTTCGGGGAGGAGGAGGGGGGGGGGGGAGGGGTTCCAGCAGGGGGGGGGGATTTTCGGAGGGGGGGGGGGGGAACCCCGGGTTCCGGAGGAAAAGTGTGGCAATTTTCCACAGTAAAGCGGCGGTGGATCACGCTCTCTCCCAGATTCGAGGCATGTCCCAATCGCATCCATATCATCGCTTCGAGGGTGACCGATCCTGTCGTCCGAGGAGACGTTGGGGACTGCAGACGTTGTCCCATCAGCATCTCGTTCAATGTTGGAGCCCTTGGGGCCCTCGCCTGGGCCTTATGAGGGTTGCTCCGTGAGGCCCAAGGACATCGGCTCCCCGAAGGCGGTGGGTGTGGACACCTGCCCTCTTTGCCGCCCTGAGCCTGGATGCGCCCTGTCCTGAGCGCGCAGTCGAGGTCCGGCGCGAGCAGTCGAGGTCCCCGAAGGGTGAGCGGGACGGAGGGGAGGAGGAGGAGGAGGAGGAGGAGGAGGAGGAGGAGGACGGCGACGACGACGACGAGGAGAAGGAGGAGAAAGTAAGATGATGAGTTGGGGGAGGAAGTAGGAGCAGGAGGAGCAGGAGGAGGAGGACGTGGGAGGCGGGGGCGTGCGCGTCACCGCTGGGCCTCCCCAGGTCCGATCCCGTGGGCCCTGGCCTCGGCCCGCAGGCCCCAGGACTAGAGCCCGCATCTATCGGGGGAGCGTAAGACCCGGGTTTGCCGGGACTCAGGTTCGCCATCGTTTTTTGACGACCGCGCCTCGGATTTTGACGAGGAGGAGTTTTGTGGGATGTCTGCAGCGGGAGGCCTCGTCAAAATGCAGGCTCGGCCTCGTCATTTTTTGACGACCTCGTCGGGGATTTCCGAGTCCCCCGTACCTGGGTCTTACGTCTCCCCGACTAGGGCCCGCACATCGCTGGAGAAGCGCAAGACTCGAGTGCGCCAGAGTTCGGGTTTCGAGTAGGGGATCGAGCACAGGATTGTCTTACTCCACAGTGGATTTGTCCGTCGAGTCTACGAAAACTGCGTCGAATGCCCCGTGGGTCTACGGACCAGTTCGCGCAGTTCTCTTGGATACCCAACGGGGAAATCAAGTTCAGGGAAAATCTATTTCGTAGTCGATGTCCTGCTCGATGTTTTGCTGGCGCTTTCTGACGTGCACGTCCTGGATTTCGACGGTCCAGTTGTCGTGGGATGTTTGCGCGGGAGCTCGCTTCAAGTTTCAGACTGGGTCTCGTCATTTTCATGTTGGCCTCGTCAAGTCAACCCGAGTCCCCCGAACCCGAGGCTTTCGTCTCCCCGATACAGCCAAGGCGTTGAAGTGAGGACCGCTTTGGGCTCGGGAGGCGCTCGCTGTTCAGGTCACTCCGTGGTTGTTTCTCTAGCTCTCCTCGTGCACCCAGGCACTTCTGGTGCTCATGATGCTGAATACGACTGATCTGAAGGACGAGGACGAATACGACTACGACAGCGACGAAGACGACGATGACGACGACGATGCTTCTCGGGGGGCTTCGTTCCCCAGCTAGCGTTTTTCTCTTTCAACAGCCCGGCTGCATGGCGATGCCACTCTGGGGTCTTGCTGGCAGGTTTTTATCAGAGCGAGGGGGCCGAACGGTCATCCATTATCCCTTGGTGCGTGTTTTTAGTTTGTTTGTTGTTAGTTTGTTTGTTGTTAGTTTGTTTGTTTTTTCGTTTGTTTGTTTGTTTGTTTTTGTTTGTTGTTGTTGCTGATGCTGTTAAACATTATTTATTCTAAAGAATAATTATTGTTGGGCCCCCTGGTGCGCGCCCCCCCTGCGCCGCCTAGGCCGCAGCTACATTTTCATCATTTTCGTGAGGAAGCCTCAGAAAAGAGGGTGTGTACAGGATCCGGTTGTTTTGTTGTAATCCGCTTTCCCTTGCAAAAAACAATAGAAAATTACATTTCTTGTTCTAATATAATCAAATTTCAAGAATCCCTTGCAAAAAATAAGGTAAAGTGGACATTCGCGCGCGCAAGACGAAATCCTTCCAAAACCTTAGTGTTCGCAGCGATTTTAACATAAAAACATCAAAAAACCAATGGTTTTTCAACAAAAAAATGTCAAAATCTCATCCCGCGCGCTCTTGCGGATTCGTAGGAAACCCAACACTTTTTAAACATTTCTGTCAAACGGGCTTTTGCGAGCAACTTTTTCGAACTTCTGCGACAACGGTTGCGCACCTGCCAGGGCCATCATCCCTGTCAAATAATACCATGCGGGACACATTCGTTTTTTCTTCGCGCGCGCACGCCGTCGTCGTCGGCCGCGGGGCCCTGAATAGTAGCCACGGTCGTCCGCATGCCACGAAGTGAAGTGTCCGAACGTCATAGGGCGGGAAGCTGGGTGTGGGTGGTGGCGAAGAGTCGTTTGGAAATTTGGTAGAGCTTGAACCGGCCCCCCCACAAAGTGGGGGTATTGCCCGCCTCCTATGAAAACCCTGGCACTGGTGAGAACGGAGTGTCCCCACGTGCTAGTAATTGTTGTTGTTGTTGTCGTTGTTGTTGGTGTTGTTGTTGTTGTTGAGGATGTTGTTGTTGTTGTTGTTGTTGCTGTTGTTGTTGATGATGTTGTTGTTGTTGTTGTCGTCGTCGTCGTCGTCGTTGTTGTTGTTGGTGTTGTTGTTGTTGTTGTTGTTGTTGTTGTTTGGCGTCTTCCCCCCCGCGACCCCGCCCGCGACCCACCCGCGACCCAGCCACGACCCACCCGCGACCCACCTGGCGACCCGCCCGCGACCCACCCACACCGCGACCCACCGGCAATCCACCCGCGACCCCCCGCGACCCCCCCGCGACCCCCCCGCATCCCGCGATTCATCCGCGACCCACCCGCGATTCATCCGCGACCCACCCGCGACCCACCGGCGATTCATCCGCGACCCACCCGCGACCAATTCGCGACCCATCCCGCGACCCACCCCGCGACCCACCCACGTTCCTGTATATGGTCCACGGCTTGGCCCCCCCCCCCCTCCAATGCTGATGCCATTGGGCCCCCCCCCCGCGCGATGGTCCCCCCCCCGCCCCCCCCTGTGGGCGTGGCGTGGTGCTGCGCTGCGGTGCCCCCCTCCCCCCCCTGTGGATGTGGTGTGGTGCTGTGTTGGTTCAGAGGTGGGCGTGGCGTGGTGCTGCGCTGCAGTGCCCCCCTCCCCCCCTGTGTGGATGTGGTGTGGTGCTGTGGTGGTTCAGAGGTGGGCGTGGCGTGGTGCTGCGCTGCGGTGCCCCCCTCCCCCCCCTGTGGATGTGGTGTGGTGCTGTGGTGGTTCAGAGGTCGTCGTCGTCGTCGTCGTCGTCGTCCTCGTCGTCCTCGTCGTCGTCGTCGTCATCGTCGTCGTCGCCGTCGTCATCGTCGTCATCGTGGTCGTCGCCGCCGCCGCCGGCGTCGTCGCCGCCGCAGCAGTCGTCGTCGTCGTTGTCATCGTCGTCGTCGTCGTCGCCGTCGTCGTAGTCGTGTCCTCGTCGTCCTCGCCGTCGTCGTCGTCGTCGTCGTGGTCGTCGTCGTCGTCTCTGGGACCATACCATCTGGGATGGGGCGGGGCCCGAAGAATCATGGGACCATAGCATCTGGGGGGGGGGGCCCGTGGGCCGGGAGCCCGGGACGATATATAACGAAAAATCGGCGTCTGCGGCGGGCTCGTTGTAGAACTTGCAAAAATGCAGTACGCGCCTGCGGCGGGCTTCTTCAGAGCCTCGGAGACGGCAGACGTCCCCGTCGCCACTTCACTCTTATCCGCGACTGTGGGGTGCTACGTATCCTGATCCTCTGCGTCTTGGACGTTCTTGTAAGACACGCCAGAAGGCTGAGGCGCTGTGGGTGCAATCTAGCCTCTATAGGGTGTAGTTTTTGTTTCATAGACATCACGCCTTCGGTTTCTGTGGAAGGGAACTTGAGACTCCAAGACGCCGTGGATATGGATAGAGGCAAATCTTGCCTGGAGGGCTGGCCCGAAGGGCTAGATCTCCGACGGTATGGTTTTGTCTGTTCCTTTGCGTTTCCTCGATTGCAGCCCCTGGGACAGGTGATCGGGCCTCGTGGCCATCGACAACGGGTCCGGAGGGAGACTTGGCCCTGAGGACGGGGGGTCGGGATTGTTGTGGCGGCGGGTTCAAAAGATCAGTTCGGCGTATGTCGGGGGTGGTGTCCGTCTTCCCGTTCTCTGGCCGTCACCGCTGTCGGATTCTCCTCCATCAGTGGAGACAGGAGTCGTTACGATGATGATGCTGATATTGATGATGATAATGACGATGATGATGCTGATGATGATGCTGATGATGATGACTATTATGATGATGATGCTGATGATGATGGTGATGATGATGATGATGATGATGATGTTGGTGATGATGATGATACTGATGATGCTGATGCTGATGATGATGGTGGTGATGATGATGCTGATGCTGATGCTGATGCTGCTGCTCATGATGATACGCATGATGATGAGCATGACGATAGGCATGATCATGCTGATGATGATGCTGATGCTGATGCTTATGCTTATCCTGCTGCTGCTGATGATGGTGATGGTGATGATCATGATGATGCTGATGCTGATGCTGATGATGATGCTGATGATGATGATTATGATGCTGCTGCTGCTGATGCTGATGATGATGATGATGATGTTGATGATGATGATGATGATGATGATGATGTTGATGATGATGATGATGATGATGTTGATGATGATGATGATGATGATGATGATGATGATGATGATGATGATGATGATGATGATGATGATGATGATGATGACGACACGTTCCAAGATTTCCAAGTTTTTCGGTGATGGCGGCTGGCGGATCTCTCTCAGGATTCTGTTCAGCACGCGCCCCATGCTAGGGGGCTGGGAGCGGCTGCAGGGGGGGAGCGCGGGCCTTGAAAGCAGCGTCAGCTTCACGGCTGGGCATCCTCGTGCGGACGACGCGCTGCAGATGAGGTGGCGGATTGGGGCGGCATGGCCGGCATGGTCGCCTACGACCCGTCGTACCAGTAGGATACCGGGCGGCGGGCTCTGCTCTCTCGTGTCTCCTTGGGGGCCAGAGGGCCACAGAAGCCGTGCGCGTCGGGTGTCCGCGGGCGTCAGAGCTCCGCCAGCGCCGGAGCTCGCCTCCACACCTGAGGCTCATGAGTTCACGTGATCTGTGAGAGAGCGCAGTGCGCGGGCGCTCGTGAAATGAGGGCGGCCCCGCGAGCAGAGGAGCGGGATCATTCCACGAAGCCTCCGGGAGGGCCCCAACGTCCAGAGACCTCGTCCCTCCAGGGTCCAATCCGATTCGATCGATCTGACTCGAGTTCAATCTCGGCCGACCCGATCCGATTCGATATCCCGACGATGCGATGCGGTCCGATGTTTGTACGTCGTTGCTGTGCATCTTGGCGTTGCCGATCCGATTCGTTGCCGACTCCGCGCCGATGCAGTGCGATCCAACGCACATTTCGATTCGATTCCCCGGTTCGGTGATAACCGTTTCTGAGAGCATCGATGCCCATGGGTATGCGACCACTTGCGAACCCTTACCCCTGCAGGTCCCCTCGACGCTGGAGTATCGAACGCCCACGCCAGGGTTCGCCTGGCTGCAGTCGCCCTTCGAACTCGGAACCCCAGCCAGTTTTTCGGGAGTCTGACCCGCGGGGATACAGTGGAGGCCCATGCCAAGAAACACCCTGCTTGCCTCCAGGGTGCCCTGCGATTCTTGTGTTTCGATGGTTTTGCGATGGAAGGCGTGACGTTCCCACACCAGCAGACTATGGACCATGGTCCATGGACATCCTGGTGCCTCAGGGCTGGGTTTCTTGTGGAAGGCTTCTTGTGGACTGGCCTCCACTGCAGTGGGGCCCGTCTCCCCCGCGCCGGGGCATAGGTCCAGGTTGCCCGCGGCACGCGCGAAGACATCCGCGCCTCGAGGCACCGCGGGAGCAGCTGCCCCTCTCCAAGGTGGGAGCGGCGGCGGCGGAGCGCAGGCATCACCGAGCAGTCGGCTCGCACGCCGCGGCACGCGCAGCGCGGAGGAGCTGGCGTGGTTCGGGAGGGGAAGACAGGCACAAGCACAATGAACAGGAACATATGGGGATTCTCCTCCTCCTCCTCCTCCTCCTCCTCCTCCTCCTCCTCCTCCTCCTCCTCCCGGGCAGAGGTCGGCGGGCTGTTGCAGCACCCGCGCGGCGCCCTGGGGGAACTTGAGCCTGCATAAATCTACCCCTAGTTGGGGGGGTAGTGGGTGCTGTTCGCTAATCGGCTCGGGTTCGCCGCCCGGGCGCCAGTCTCAGCACCCGGGTCACCCCGTACCCAGGGAGGTCGGGGGAGGCTCATGGCGCGTGCCACCTGGTCCCCTTTGGGCAAGGGGACTTGTGGGGGTGGTCCTGGGCACCACTAAATCTCGCGCCAGGGGACCCACCTGGCGGCCGAGGGTGTTCCAGAGTCCCGACCTGCAGAGCAGGCGGAGGCTTTGGCGGAGGTGGCGGCATCGCTCGGCGCAAGGGCGCCGACCTGAGGCGGCCAGAGGACCGTCCTGTGGCTGAGCTGTGAGGCGACGTAAGACTTAGCATATGTATTTTTCTGCCGGGGGCGGCAAGGCCCGCCGTAGGTTCCCCCAGAGAAAAGCGGCACGTGGTGAGGCCACTGGCCCACCTCGCTTCGGGCGCGCCGCCGCGCGCTTGGCGAGGTGCCGAGACCACAGGCATTCACTCGTGCGCGCGAGCGCGCGGGTGTAAATCCTCCTCCTCCCCCCCCTCCTCCTCCTCCTCTTCCTCCATCTCCCCCCCTCCGTAGCCATATTGGCCCAAGATGCCGATGTTGGGGGGCTGTCCGCCTCCTGGCGGCGCGGAGACCGCTAGTCCGCGAAATGCATCCGAGCATACTCGAGACATGGGTGTCTCGTGTATCGTACGTCTCCTCAGTTTTTTCTCATGGCGGATGCTGTTCCCTCGGCCGCGGTCGCAGACGGGGCGCTCCGTCGTGGCGGCATCCAGAAGCGGAAGGGCCATGGCGACAATGATATTCCGGGTGGTCGTGGCGATCGGTCGCGGACCCCACCCCCTAATAAAGAAGCTGCCTTGCACTCATTCGCCACCATGGCCTACGTCCAGACCTTCAAGGACAATCTTGACTCCATGGAGTCTGCCATCAGGGACACCTTCAACGCCTCCGCCCCCTCCGCGATGGGCAGCGCCACGGGTCCCATCTCCGCTGCCCCCGCGGCGGCCCAGGCGGGCATCAACGGCCTCTCGGGCAAGATCGGGCAGGAGGTCGGCATCGCAATTGACCAGCAGATCGACGCCACCCACAAATCGTCCCAGCAGCAGTTCGACGTCTTCACCCAGAGGATGGCCGACATCGGGAGCCGCGAGGACCAGACCGACAATGCCATCAATCACATGGCAGAACAGATCACGGCGCCACATGGCAGGACATTCGACGCCACCATCATCAAAATGCATGCCGATGGCCTGGTCCCGCTTGACAAAGCCACGGAGGCGCGTGTGAAGTGGATCACCGAGTGCGGCATCGACGAGTCTCTCTTCCAAGTGCAAGGCCAAGACACATCACGATATTCCACGATCCGGTTCACTGGCCTCCCTAGCCTTGCCTTTCGCCGCGTGCAGAAAGCGCTGGGCAGCCCCCGAAACCGCGACGGCAGCTGGGCCCGCATCCGGGCGCCCGCTATTGCTGGCACGGTGGAGCTGCGCGTCGGCCCCGAGAAGTCGCCCATGCAGATCAAGACGGAGATTGTCAGCGAGCGGATTTGGCAGGCTCTCGAGAGTGCGTTCCCCAACCACACTTGGGGGGTCGACCGAGCCAAGGGTTTGGTCTCGGCCAACTGGGCCCCAGTCCTCTCCTGCACGGTGCATCCAGGGCGTGATGAAGATACTGCGCCCCCCCCTCCCTGGGCATCGCGCGCGCAGATCAAGGGCGCAATTCGCGACGCGGTCACGCCCGAGGCTGTTCCCCAGTTCTGGCTCTGACACGATTGCGAAAGGTCTGAATCGAGCCCCATGTGGTCTATCGCCGAGCCTGGTCGTGGGAACGTGGAACAATGTGCCCTCCTCAGAAGCCAAGGGCGCCGCGCGGTTGAGAAGTCACCCTGCCTGCGCTCCCCCCCCCTTGCCAAGATGACCCTCGGCATCCAGGAGGCCCGCCGCAACCGCGCTCAGCTGCTCTCGATCCTGAGGAAGATCGGCTCCAAGCTCTGCATGCACTCCTCCCTCGCGCCAGGCCACCACGGTGAAGTCAGTGGCGGCGTCGCCGCAGTCTTCCCTGCAGGTCTGCAGGCTGAGAGTGAAGCCCCCCTTCCTGGCCGTGCACTGCGCGCCGTTTTCCACGCCGACGACCAGAAGCTGCTGTTCTACAACGCCCGCAGCTACGATATCAACAGCGCGGCGGCCAGGCTCGTCTCGACGACCCTCGGCGACTTGCACTTTGCGAAGGCCGACCCGAGCAAGGCGGTGCTGTTCGCCCCCAGGGACTTCAACCCCGCCGCCCGTCGGGAAGTTGAAGCTCGCTGAGCCTGGCGCCAGGGCCTCCTCTGAGGTCGCTGAGACATCAAACGCATCGGCACGCACATGGCACGGTGCGCTCGAACATCTGGCGGGCATCGAGGGTAATGACACCATTCACTACTGCGCCGAGACCATTGTCGAGTCGATCATAGACCGATGCTCCTGTTCCATCGCGCCGTCCCAGATGGTCCAGCTGGCCGTTACCTCCACGACCTCTCCACCGCTGAGGAGCTGCCTCGCCGTCGAGTCAGCGACCGCGCTTCCGCCCTCATCTCATTTGCCGCGCGCGACCTCAAGGCCGAGAAGAACCAGCCAATTGCCCAGTGCATTTTGAAGTCCCCCATCTCCAAGCAGATTGCCGAGAAGGTGTTCAGCCAGACTGACCTCGGCAAGCCGTCGCCTGCGCCCAGACTTCTTCAGGATGTGGAACTCCTCAGAGAAGTTGCCCGTGCTGCTCGAGATCGCAGTCATGAAGAGCACCCTGGGCAGGGACAATTCCAACTCCAGTTAGCCCAGCCGCATGCTCGTGTTGTTTGGCGCCAGGATCGTTCGCTCGCTGCCCGCCTTCTCTGAGTCCACGCCAAATCACGATGCATCCTCGACGCGAGAATTGGCCAGGTCATGCTCGCCGACCCCGCTAAGTTCGAGGAGTGGGCCAGTAATCTCTTCCGACAGGGCGCTGACCGACGCCGAGCTGCCATCGACCTGGCCCGTCAGAGCGGCCGTCTCCCGCCTCCGCAAGCTCGCGCGCAGTCTCAGTCTCAGCACCGCAAGATCCAGCTCTGGAACCCGATCAGCAAACGCTCGGTGCTCACCCGCGCGAAGACGAGCGTCGGGGCAGTGACGGGGCCGGCCGAGAGATTGCAGGAGTTCGTGGAACGCTGGCAGCCCGTCTTCCAAGGCAAGAACGCGGACGCTGCGAAGGCGGAGAGCTACCTTGACCACTTCGCGTCCAAGATCGACTTCCACAGGTGCAAGCCCCCAGACTACGACGCGCTCAAGAGACTCGCGAGCAGGTCTCCTTCTACTTCGACGGGCCACCTACATCGCGTGGTTCCCGCGTGCGAATTTCACGGGGGTCCTATGGCATGTCGCACTGGATGCTGCGCGGCGGCCCCCTCGCCGACGAAGCCAACGCGACGGTCCAGGCCGTCCTCCCCAAGGGGGGGGGGGGGGGACCAGGCGACGCGGAGCACATCGGCTGCCACCGGGACCGTCCAAAGTTCGAGCTCTCGGGCTTCGGAATTCTTCTCTCAAAATCATCAGCAGCACGATGAACGCGGCGATGGCCACGGCGGCTGCCGGCGCGGTCCCAGCTTCGCAGCGAGGCTCATCCACCATCGCAACTTCGGCCACAACATCTTCGAGCTGGACGTCGAGAGCGGCATCGCGTCCGCCGACCCCGACGCCATGGCCAAGCTGCCCGTGCTGGCGTCGCTGGACATAGCGCAGGCTTTTCCAAGCTTCGCGCACCAGTTCATCCGCCCCGCGCTGAAGGCCACGGGCGTTCCCGGGGCACTCCTGAACATCTTCGACGCGGTGTGCCACGACGTCCTCGCGATGGCCCCATGCGCTAGCAAGTGCATCCCGCTCTGCATCCGATCGGGCATCGTCCAGGGCTGCGGGTGGAGTGGCACGCTCTACGCGATGGGCAACGCTTGCTTCCTCCTCGACCTAGAGAAGACGCTCGAGCTCAGGGGTCTCTGCTCTGCAGAGCATGCGCCGACGACCTCGGGCCGGTGCTCGCGCAGCGTTTCATCTGACCCACCTGGCAGGGGTGATTGTTCTCATGGGGGGGCCTCGCAGGCCTTGCGCCGAAGCCTGCCAAGTGCCGCGGCGTCCCTCTCGCAGGCCCCGTAGACGACGAGCTCGCACTCAAGCTGCGCGACGCCCTGATCGCGATTTCGCCCTTCAGCCAGGAGTTCAGCATCTGCGACCGCCTGACCAATCTCGGGCCCCTCCTGGGCCCCAGGGCGACCGGGAGCCTGATCTACGCGAGTGCCTTTCAGCTGGCGCACTAAGATGTGCAGTGCCAGCGGCGCCCCCTCGACAGTTTCCTCCCAGCTGTTCAATAGCCGTGCCGCCCCTGTCCTCAGCCCCCTTGCCCAGTGCGCCCTGCTGCCCCACGCGCTCTCCAAGTCCGAGAACTGGGTCAACGCCTCGGCCCTGCGGTTCCCCAGCGGCGCGTTCAGGGTCAAGGACTGGCCGAGGTCGAGGTCGCGACGATTGCCGAGATCGTCTGAGCGGACACGCCCGCCTTCGACAAGTTCCTTGGGATCCGCGAGCGCCTTCAGGGGTCTCGACCAGCACGGCGATGACCAGGCGCTGTTCGGGGCTGCTCGGGCCGCCTTGCACGCGCCCCCGCCCTGGTAGAAGATGCAGCCCTTCGCTGAAACATTCCGCCGGATTGCGTCCGCGGCGACGGCCCACCGCCGCTGCCCGCCCACGCTTGCCCTAGCCCTCGAGGGTGCGACGTCGGCCCTCGCGGCAGGCAAGTCAGCCCGTGCCCAGAGGCAGGCGCGCGCTGCTGCGAGGGGCGCGCTGGGCCCCGACGCGATCGCCCCTTGCCTGGCGTCGAGGGCCATGATCGGGGTGCCCGACCTTGGCGCCCTCATCGAGCACGACCCTGAGGTGACCGCCAGGGGTGTAGGACGCCATGAAGAAGCTGCCGCCGTCGTGGGCAGCAGCGTGGATGCGGACGCTCTCCTTCTCATGGTTGACCTCGGGCAGGATCAGATACGACTGCGGGCGCAGGGCCTGCATCTTGCAGTGCGCGGGCTGCGCCGACTCCCAGAAAAAAAGAAATACCTGGCGCGCGCCCCGCTGGCCGCGGCTGCCGCGGCTGCGACCCTCGCTGCTGTCCACGCGGCCGTGGCGGACCTCGGGCTGCCGGGCGTCTCCAACGAGAACACCGAGCGCATCGTGGTCGCCTGCGGCACTTGCCACATGCCCCGCTCGGAGTGCGCTGTCGACGCTGAGGCCCGGCGATCGACCGCACGTGCTGCTTTGCGAGCCTCGCGGGCGATGCGCAGGCCCCCCGATGGTGCCGCGGGCTCCTTTTCCTTACGCTGATGAAGTCGCCCCCTCCACCCGTGGGAGCTCTTGGAAGCAGGGGCTATGCGCGGAGCCCGAGGCGCGGCCGCGCGCTGGGGCAGGCGGCGCCGCGCCGTCGTCTGGAGACAGAGCGCCTTAGCACGCTCGACTCCTCCTCCTCCTCCTCCTCCTCCTCCTCCTCCTCCTCCTCCTCCTCCTCCTCCTCTTCCGTGATTCGCGATGTTGATTCCCAGGAACAGATGATTCTAGGCGCTTCGCGTAAACCCCACCAGCCCACCCAGGACCAATGCCCAGTGGAGTTGCCTCGATCGGGGAAGTGGGCAGCACGCAGAGGACGGGCCCGCAGCGGTGGCCTCTGCGAGCGTTGTGGGGGCATCTCGGCGGAACCCGGGGCGTCTTTGAGCGTCTTGGGTGCCTCGGTGATCCTCTTGAGGCTTCTTGGGGGTCTCTTGGGGGCCTCTTTGGAGGCCCCTTCGGGCCGTCTGGGCGCCTCTTTGGGCCCTCTGCGAGCACTCTTGGGAGCTTTAGGGGCGCTCTTGGGGCCATCTAAAGGACGTCGGTCAAACTGGGGGGAGCTCCAATTCCCCCTACCACCCCCCTTTTCGGGAACACTAAAAATCGTATCTTGGGGCGCTCTTATCGCGTTCTTGGAGCGCTCATGGGCGCTGTTGGGGCTGTCTAGGGGCTCTCTGAGGCCTCGCTTGGGGCACTCTTGGGCCATCTAGGAGCCATCTGGGGCTGGGGAAGATTATCGAAAGCGAACGGGCGACGATGCACAAATCATTGGTTTGCCTATGGTTTTCGAAGACTTGTGGCTTCTTGGGTGCCTCCTTGGGGGTCTCGGGTGCCTCTTGGAGCCGTATCAGGGCGATACTGGTGCCTTATGGTGCGTCTTGGGGGCCATCTGGAGGCATGTTGAGCTATGTTGAGCCATCTTGAAGATCATGTTGGGTTCTCCGAGGCGCTCTTGGAGCCATCTTGGATGACTAAGTACCCTCTGACACCTCGCGGCCCGTCCCGCCCAGGTCCAGGAGATGGGGTAGGGGGGGGTCAAGGGACCCTCCTAGATGGCAAGCGTCTAGCTTACTCCCACGCGCCCTCCCAACACAGAAGGAACACCCGAGCCTCAGCATGTTCAGCGGTCGTCCTTGGATGGGCAGATATGGGGAACCACAACCGAGCCCATGTGCGCGACGCCTGGGCGAGGTGCGCCACGCGTGCCAGCCGCGCGACGCGTGCCGGGCACCCGTGGGGCCCGAGCGTTCCAGGCACGCTTGGCGCGCCGGATGCGCCACGTGCTTCTGCGTGTGCCAGGAGCGTCGGAGATTCCAGCCGCGCCAGGTGCGCCACATTCGGGGCGCGCGCAGAGTGTGTCATGTGTGCCTGCGCGCGTGCCAGCACACATCGGGAAACATGTCGGCCCCCACCATCCATTTCAAAAAACAATGCCCACTGTGTCTGGTGGGCCTGCGCACAGCAGGCCAAGCCACCACTTGACAGTGATTGCGGGGTGTGGCCGCGCATGATCCAGATTTTGCTGCGAGGTGCATTTTGCATTGTTTTTGTCAGGGATGGTCGGTCTGCGCGCAGCAAGCAATATGCTGACACCCCCGCCGTCCCGGTCAAACCGCAATAGAAAGTGTTCGCGGGCCTCGCGAACATGACTGCATATTTTGCCTCAGAGTGTATTTTGTATTGTTTGTGACAGGGATGGTGGGGGAGGGCCCTCATTGGGGTCCTCATTGTTCTTGGTTGGCTGCGGGTCGCCCGGGGGAGGAGGTTCATATTCATAGGGAACTGTGGTGATACACCCCTCCCGGAGGGAAAAAAAGGGGGTTGGAAGAGGAATCGTCCTAGATCACCTACGCCCAGAGAGATGGTGGGATTGGAGCCGCGTGGGCTTTTGAGGTTGCCAAGCACGGGTTCTGGCCAGCAGGAAGGGGAGGCGCTGGGTTCGGGAATATTGAAATGGCCTCGGGTCAGTGCCGCCGATCCGGGACGCTTCCGTTGCTGCCGGAAGCGCGCGATGGCGGTCATGACCGGCGACGACGGCGAGCGGTGAGGATGATGATGAGGATTGGGAATGGAGGCGACGGAGTAGGATGAGGAGGAGGAGGAGGAAGAGGAGGAGGAGGAGGAGGAAGAGGAGGGGGAGGAACAGGAGGAGGAGGAGGAGGAGGATCATGATGAGGTGGAGGGGAGCGGGGGGGGGGGAGGGGCAGGAGCATCAGGATGTTGAGGATTAGGAGGAGCAGGAGGAAGCGGGAAATGGAAGAGGGGAAAGGGGGAAAAGGAATAACATGACGAGGATGAGGAGATTTTCGGCGGTTGTTGGAGATGTTCGGCGGTTGTTGGAAAGCTTCTTTGGGGCCAGGTGTTGGCCCTCTTTGGGTTGACACGTCGCCGATTTGGCGCATTTTCTGCAAGACTTTGTGCTCGAGCTCTTTGCGTCGCAGCTCGGTGTGGAACCTCGTGCATCGCCGGTGGTGTTTTTTTGGAGGTTTCGGTGAGTTCGCGCGGTTTTCTGCGGGCCTGTGCGAGATCGTGGACGTGAAGGACACCGAAGGCGGGGGGAAGATGTGACAGCGTTGAAGAACCTTGTGTGTTGCAGCGTTTGTTTTCAAACGCAAGCGCCGTGGATGTATTTGGGTCGGTTTTGGGATTTTCGATGGGGAATCATGGAAGCAATTTTGACGCCTCTAGATCGCGGTTTGGTCTCATTGCGTGAGACTTCTGGACGCCCTTGGGGGCTTCATGGGGCATTTTCGGGGCCAGTTGGAAACGGCTTGGGGTTTCTTCCGGCCTCTTGGGGGCCTCCGGGGGCCTGTTGGGGGTTTCTTGGGCCCTGTGCGGCAGTTTTTCCGCCGTTTCTGCGCCCTCTCAGGCGCCTCTTGGCCGCGTCCTGGGGAACTGTTGGGCCTGTTTTCCGGGGGCTTCCTGACCAATCTTTTTTTCGGCCATCTTGAAGGAGCCGTCTCGGCGGCTTCTAGGGCCGTTTTGGGGTTTTCTTGGGGCGTCTACGACGCTCTGAAGGCCCAAGCGGCGAATATTTCAAAATTGTACGTTTTCCATTTGGAATGGGGCACTTTTTGATCATTTGGGCCTTATTCGGGGGGCGTTTATTTCAGTATTTCTGTGGGCACCTGGGAGGCTTCTGGAGCCGTCTTGGGGACACCTTGGGCGTCTTGCAGCGATCGTTTGGCGATTCGGGGCCCTTTTGGCCTATGTTGGGGCCCTCCTGGGCGAGGGGGCCGTCCCGAAGTGAGTTGGAGCTCCGATTCCGCCCCGGGAATTAATTCCCCCCCCTCTCCCGGCAAAGCCATCCCGGCACCCACCCCCCAGTAGAGCTGAAACTCAGGAGTTGAGGGGCTTGTGAACGTCAAACGCCGTATCGGCGGATGTTTGCTGTCTTTTTCAAGCTCTTGGGGCCGCTTGTGGCCCCAGGACCGTCAAAAATTGATCCGGGGTCAATAGCTGCGCCAGATGGACCCTGGGAGGGGTGCGGGACGGATTCTGAGCGCTTTTGGTTTCATCCCCACTTTTCACCGATGCCCGAGACAGGGGGAACGGAGGGGGACGCAACAACCTGACACATGCGGAAAATCAGAAGACTGGGCCCCGCCGCCACCCCAAACGGCGAGCACACATCGGGCGTAGCCCCGCAATCATTTGGATGCCCACGCTTCGTCCTCGTACTACTCGCGGGCCCCCAGCACGGTGCGTGCGTTGACGGCGTCGTGGTCGTACCAGGGGCACACATAGGTTGCGGCCTCGGTGGCCGAGAAAAACGGTTCTCATCGGTTGCGCCGTAGGTTGCGGCCTCGGCGGCCGAGAAGTCAACCGTCTCCTATCGGTTGCGCCATAGGTTGTGCCTTCGGTCGCGAATGATACGTAGCACCCCCCAGATGCGGATAAGAGTGATGGGGGCGGTGGGGACGTCGGCA